AAAAAAAAAAAACAACAAACTCTCTTCTATCCACATTCAACTTTTAATTGCAGGCAAATACTGGTCAAAAGATATAAAACTAGCAGACTGAAATTTGCACAGAATGTTGCTTTTATCGCTTATTTAAAAACTTTCTTCTTTTCCCCTGTTAATATATATTTGATTTCCCAACATACAAAATCCAAGAGTTTCTGCGAACGCTCAGGATTAATTTTGATTTATGCATGAGTAGTGTTGTACAGCATGCATATAAGGTTATCGGAAAATGCTTAGCATTGGCTAAAAAGTTTTTTGAATCTAAAGCTTGATGGCTTTGGGATTCATTCATTAGAAAGAATTTTTTGCGTAAGATAATTAACGCTACAGAGTAATCCCTGATGATGTCGGTAAAATGCACATTGGAAGCTGTCAATACTGCACAAAGTGAGTAAGCCGTGAACCTCGTAGGATTTATAAAGCTGCCCATTTAGGGTGCTATTGGTTATGAGGTAATTTTAGTGGCCAGAAAGCTGACTGTTTCTTTAAAATCGTTGACATTTATTCGGGACTTGCTGGGTTACACTCTCGTCGCTATTTTCGGTTTTCATCGCTGTTGTAGTTTTAAAAGCGTGTAATTGGGACAGGGATGGAAGGGGTTGGGAGATAAAGAGCGAGAGTGGGAACAATAAAACGGTCTTTTGGTAGGCAGTTCGGTATTGACAGTCGTATTAAGTGTATGATAGCCATACCGGAAAATAGTATCCGTAAGCGTGGATGCGGAAGTAGAGGCATTTTGGGCACAGATGAGGGAATCAGAAACGTCGGAAAACTTCACCGTAGTCGCATCTTGTTTTGACTTAATATTTGGCAGTGTAAGCCTTGCTCTGTATGAATAAGACCAAAGGTGCTTTATGAAACCCGGAATTCTGGAGTTTCCAAAAATTCTGGGAGTCTTCTAACTATAAAGTAGAATCTTCCTTTAGTTAACTTGTTTGAATAAAAATTTTTTTCCTTTTTATAGGCAATTTTGGGCAATTTTTGAGAGGTGATTTTTGAAATATGATTTTTTGCAAACTTCAATTAAGTCTTTCTTTTTCGTGGGACTAGAAGTTTACAAGATTAATTTGCAGGTGCGTGAAAATCAGTTGAGGGTATTACCACCATCAATTTGTGACTTAAAGAACTTGAAGCAACTGGATGTCGGACGTAATGAGCTTTTACTTTTGGTAGGCTATATTTTGGCTTATTTTATGTGCTTACTGATTGCTTAGTTTGCTGGCGAGCATATTGATTTTTGATAAGACACGACGATTTTTGCTATTAACAGTAACTGCTTATCTGTACATTATTTAGCCTATGGGACTTGGCGTTTTGGAAAACTTAGAAGAGTTGTACGCTGATCATAATTTGTTGAACGCTATTCCTGACTCAATAGTAGACTGCAGTTTACTGAAAGTGTTGGATATATCCGAGAATGATATTTTGGCTCTACCGGAAGAAATCGGCGAATTAGTTGAACTGGGAGAACTTAACGTTTCTGAGAATCGTATTACTTCATTGCCCAATTCTATAAGTATGTGTGTTATTTGAAAGACTATGTTCTAGGGTTTTTTTTTTTTTTTTTGAAATAAAGACTTGCTTTTCTTTTTCAGGCAGGTTGAAAAAATTGACTACTTTAAAAGCGGACTCGAACGAAATAGCAATGCTAACAACGGCAATTGGTGGTTGCACTGCTCTTCGAGAAGTTTATCTTGCCAATAATCAGTTAACGGTAAACTGCAAATATTATTGGTGGTTCTCATCATTTTTTTTCAAGATTTACTGCTTTTATCCAAACCTACTCTATTGATCTTGAATTTGTTCTAGACTGTGCCAAGCGCTCTCGGTAACCTTGAATCACTTACGTTGCTAACGCTTGATGAAAATCGCTTAACAGAAATTCCTTCTACTGTAAGTTTACCGTACAGCACCTGCTGGATTTCGGTTATTTATGTCTTTTACTAAAATTTTTTCTCTATAGTTTATGAGAGGATGAGAAGGTATTTGAGTTTTGCTTAATTTGTTTAGATTGGTGGTTGCAAAAAACTCTCAATTTTAACTCTTCGGAACAACCAGCTGAACGAACTGCCACTGGAAATTGGTCGGCTTGTTAATCTGAACGTTCTGGACGTTTGTGACAATCGTCTCATATTTCTCCCGTACACAATAAGTGTTCTCCCTAACTTACGAGCATTATGGCTTTCTGTAGACCAAGTTTGTGCTTCTTTTATTTTCTGCTCATCTCTTTCAAACATTTTTGAGGAGCTTTAATCCCGAATTAGTGCAAAAGCAAATCTTTTATTTTATTTTAT